GGACATAGTATGTGTGAGTGTCCCCCCCCACGCCCGCCCCTCCGCCCCCCCTCCAAAAAAAAAGAAAAAAATACTCGTGTCAGTATTTCGCTCCTCAGAGCGCTTCACGAAGTCCGCATCACAGTAAGCTGTCAATAATCAATCGATAGTACGGCAAAATTTAAATGAAAAAAAAAAGAAGAAAAAAAGAGACATCCATCAGACACTCAGTATTTCGTTCATGGCATGCGGGACAAAAGGGGAGAGAGAGAGAGAGAGAGAGAGAGAGAGGGTGTATGTGAACCGTTGTGGCCAAACAGTACCTGCATATATTAGCTGTCGTGGCCATATATCGACGGCCGATTTGTCCGGTCCACTTGGGGCGTGGCCATGGCCATAATTTGCATACCCTGCTAGTGGGGGTAAAATGACAATTTGGGTGCCTTCCCAGAAACCATGGCCATAATTTGCATACCCTGCTAGTGGGGGTAACATGACAATTTGGGTGCCTTCGCAGAAACCACCAGTGTTTTTGACCCTTCCCTTGCAGGGCCTCTTTTGGCTGGTGCAGCCAGCCATTTTGCTCTGGCAGTCAAGCCCGGAAATGTGTGGCTAGCATACAGCCACGTTGGAGAAAAATGGGTGGGAGATGTGCTCAGCCTGGTGGTATAAACCACGAGTACTTGTCGCAGCCATTTTGTCAGCGTCGCAGCATGCGTGCTGCTGCGACTCCCGGGAAGTACGGGGGCGCCGGTGTGCTGGACATCCATCCAGGCAAAATGGGCCTTGCATGCCGCCACGTTCAAGAAAGATGGCTGGGAAATGTGCTGCTGGTTTAAACTTCAGACTTTAAGCCACCAGTACTTTTCACAGCCATTGGTTTTCAGAGTCGTAGCTTGCACGCTGCTGTGGCTCTCGAGAAGTACTCGGGTGCCATTTGCCGGGACATGATGGACATCCATCCAGGCAAAACGGGCCTTGCATGCGACCCATTTTGCCTAGATGGATGTGCTGCGAAACAGCGCCCTGGCACTTCGTGAGAGTCATGGCAGCATGCTCGCCGCGACTCTGAAAAAATCGCTGGGAAAAGTACACAATGCTCCCGACAGTCACAGCAGCATGCTCGCCACGATTGTGGTACAACAATGCTATCATCTGCATGGACATAGTGTCACTGCCCAGGCCGCAGTGACACTATGTCCATGCAGAGGAAGCATCTATCTGGCCTTTTTTTTTTTTCTGTCTTTATTTTGAATTTTAAAGTAGCACCAATGAGGTCTAGCCCTTTAAACCACCTGAAGTTTTACCAGGCTTTTTTTCTGAGACATGGTTGCATTTGTGTGCCGCGTTAAAGTTTGGCGGGATAAACCAGCCAGCCGGTTCACAAAAAATGTATCCAGGCGAGACGGGACCCGCATCCAAATCCATTTGCCTGGGGTCAATATCACAAACGTTCCACACCGTTTAAGCCGGACTTGTCGCCAGTCCATAGAGTGGACACCAAAAACACCAA